ACCAGAAACAGACAGTGTTCTATTACTATTCATAAGATTTTCAGTGGCTAAACTTTCAGGAGTGGTCCGCCTTTTCTTCTTCTGAATCTTAGGTGGAAGGCACTCAAAATATGATGGGGAAAGAGCTACCTCTTGAAAGTAGAGTTGACCTTAATGACTTGGATAGAGCAAAGCTTTTGAGACCGTCATTTGCTGATAGGGCACAACTCATAAACAGAAGGAATATCCATTAATAATCAGAATGTATAATGTACAAAGTATGAGTCTAGAACACTTAGAAGCAGTCCAAAATTAAATGGAAAGCATAAAAATCAGTATCTTAGGCATTATTGAGCTAAAATGGATTGGTATGGGCCATTTTGAATCAGACAATTGTATGGATTACTATGATAGGAACAACAAATTGAAGAGGAATGGCATCACATTCATCATCAAAAAGAGCATTTCAAGACCTAGCTTGAAGCACAATGCTGTTTGTAGTAGGTTAAAATCCACATGACTGCAAGGAAGATCAGATTCTTCATGTGGTGCCGTAGGATAAGCACTCGACCTCAAAGTCAATTTGAACGGCAAGGTGGGCCATTCAAACTCACCTGCTGCTCCTTGGAAACCCTATATGGGGTGACTATGAGTTGGAACCAACTTGACGGCACTTAAAAACAAGAGGAAAAAGAAGGAAGATGAGTTAATATGGCCATTATTCAAATTTACTCACCAACCACTGAAGCCAATGATGATGAAATTGAAGAATTCTCCTACCATCTTCAGTCTGAAATTGCTCATACATCCAATCAAGATGCATTGAAAATGAATGGTGATCGGAATGAGAAAGTTGAAAACAAAAAGGAAAGATCTGTAGTTGGAAAACATGGTCTTGATGATAAAAAGGATGCTGGAGATCACATGATAGAATTTTTCAAGACCAACAACTTATTCATTGCAAGTGTGGAGCTGTGGGTTAATGCGCTGGACTGCAAAGTCATTTGAACTGCAAAGTCGGCAGTTCAAGCTCACCAATTGCTCCTTGGAAACTCTATACAGGGTCGCTATGGGTTGGAACTGACTCGACGGCACTTCACAACAACAACCTTTTATTCAACACCATAAACAGCAACTCCTCACGTGCAGCTCACCAGATGGAATACACAGGAATCCAACTGACTACGTCTGTGGGAAGAGACAATGGCGAAGCTTAATATCATCAGCCAAAACAAGGCCAGGGACTGACTGTGGAACAGACTATAAATTGCTCATATGCAAGTTCAGGCTGAAGCTGAAGAAAACTGAAACAACTCTATGAGAGCCACAACATGACCTTGAGTATATCTCACCAGAATTTAGAGACCAGCTCAAGAACAGACTTGATGCATTAGGCACTAATGACCCAAGACCAGAAAGTTGTGGGGTGACATTGGGAATATCATACATGAAGAAAGCAAAAGGTCATTAAAAGACAGGAAATAAAGAAAAGACCAGAGCAGATGTTAGAAGAGACTCTGAAACTTGCTCTGAGCATAGAAATGCTAAAGCAAATGGAAGAAATGGTGAAGTAAAAGAGCTGAACAGAAAACTTCAAACAGCAGCTCAAGAAGGCAAAGTCAATTCATTACAATGAAATGTGCAAAGGCCTGGAATTAGAAAACCAAAAGGGAAGAACATGCTTAGTATTTCTCAAGCTGAAAGAAAAATTTAATCCTAGAGTTACAGTATTGAAGGATTCTATGGCAAAATATTGAATGATGCAAGAAACATCAAAAGATGGAAGGAAGTCACTATACCAAAAAGAATTGGTTGATGTTTAACCATATCAACATGTAGCTTACGATCAAGAACTGATAATACTGAAGGAAGAATTCCAATCTGCACTGAAGGCATTGGTGGAAAAACAAGGTTCCAGGAAAGGACAGAATACAAACTGAAATCATTCAACAAACTGATGCAATTCTGGAGGGACTCACTTATCTATTTCAAGAAATTTGGAAGACAGCTACCTAGCCAACCAATTGGAAGAGATCTATAGCTGTGCTCATTCCAAAGAAAAGTGACCCAATGGAATGTAGAAATAATTGAAAAAATGTCATTAATATCACATGAAAATAAAGTTTTGTTGAGGACAATTCAAGAACAATTACAGCAGTACAACAACAGGGAGCTGTCAGAGATTGCAGCTGGATTCAGAAGAGGATATGGAACTAGAAATGTCGTTGTTGACATCAGATGGACTTTGGCTGAAAGTAGAGAATATCAGAAAACTGTTTACTTGTGCTTTTTGCATTATGCAAAGGCATTTGACTGTGTGGATCATAGCAACATTGAGAAGAATGGGAATCTTCTAACACTTCATTGTGCTCATGTGCAACCTGTACATAGACCAAGAGGCAGTCATTAGAACAGAACAAGGAGATACTGAATGGTTTAAAATCAGGAAAGGTGTGGGTCAGATTACATCCTTTCATCATACTTATTCAATCTGAATGCTGAACTTATTCAATCGGAGAAGCTGGATTGTATGAAGAAGAATGTGGCATCAGGATTGCAGGTGATATGCAGATGATACAACCTTGCATGCTGGATGTAAAGACTTGAAATACTTCTGATGAAGATCAAAACTAAAGCCTTTAGTTTGGATTGCACCTCAATGTGAAGAAAATGAAAATCATCACAAAAAATAATCAATAACATCATCATGATAAACAGAGAAAAGATTGAAGTTATCAAAGACTTCATTTTGTTTGGATCCACAATCAACACTCATGGAAACAGCAGCCAAGAAATCAAATGATATATTGCATTGGGTAAATCTGTTTCAGAGATCTCTTTAAAGTGTTAGATAGCAAATATGTCACTTTGAGGACTGAGATGTACCTGACTTAGGTCATGGCATTTCAAGGCACCTCATATGCATGTGAAAGTTGGACAATGAATAAGGAAGGCCGTAGAAGAATTGACTCATTTGAATTATGGTATTAGTAAAGAATATTGAAAGTGCCATGGACTGCCAAATGAACAAACAAATCTGTCTTCGAAGAAGTATAGTCAGAATACTTCTTGAAAGAAAGGATGGTGAGACTTCTCACCTACTGGACATATTATCAGGAGGGGTCAGTCCCTGGAAAAGGACATCATGCTTGCCAAAGTGGAAGGTCAGTGAAAATGAAGAAGACCCCCAGTGAGATGGCTTGACACAGCGGCTGCTCCAATGGACTTAAACACAGCGACGATTGTGAGGACAGCCAGGACCCAACAGTGTTGGTTCTGTCGTGTGTTGGGTTGCTGTGAGTTGGAACTGACTCGAAATGAAGTCATTTAACAACAACATATGAAAAAAATAGCAACACACACATATCTATATTGTTGTTGTTTGCTGTTAAGTGCCATCAAGTTGGTTCTGCCTCATAGGTTTGAGCTGCCGACCTTGTGGTTCAAAGGTCAGTGTTAATCCTACAGTACCACACCAGGATTCCAATGTATATAATGCTGTTGTTGTTAAGTGCTGTGGAGTTGGTTCCCACTCATAGTGAAACTGCATAGGGTTTCCAAGGAGTGCTGGTGAATTTGAACAACTGATCTTGCAGTTAGCAGTCCAGTGCTTATCTTATAACCTACACCAGGACTCCAATATATATGTAAATATATTTACTGTTGTTATTAAGTGCCGTCGAGTAGGTTTCCCACTCACAGCGACCCCCGTATAGGATTTCCTAGATTTAAAATCTTGCAGAAGCAGAAAGCCTCATAGTTCTCCAGTGGCGTGATTGGTGGGCTCAAATGACTGACTTTGTGGTTCACAGTCTAGTGCTTGTTGTTCGGAGCCACTGCGCTCCCCATATACGTTATTGTTGTTGTTAAGTGCCGTTGAATCTGTTCTGACTCATAGTGACCTTGTATAGGGTTTCCCAGAAGTGACTGGTGGGTTTGGCGCACGTTACTCTTTTTAGTGATCAAAATGTTGAGCGCATATTGCTTTCAAAAAGCGTGGCTGAGTGGGGCTGCTGCAGGCATTTCAGTCTTGCAGAGTGCAGAGGACTGCAGGTAGTAAGAAACATCTGCATGAGTCTCTCCAGTTTGTTGTTGTTGTTGTTATGTGCCGTGGAGTCGGTTCCGACTCATAGCGACCCTGTACAGCATTTCTGAGGCTATAAATCTTTACGGGAGCAGAAAGCCTCATCTTTCTCCCACGGAACAGCTGGTAGTTTCGAACTTCTGACCTTGCGGCTTGCAGCCCGATTCATAACCATTATGCTACCAGAGCTCCTTCTCTCCAGTTTAGTGGACTCAAATTTGTGAACAAATAAAATGTGTTATTCTCTAGAAACTTGTAAAGGACTCATTAGGAGGTTTCTCTAGAATAAACTCCATGCTGATAATATTGTCAACCCCAAGACTAGGTGACTGGAAGAAATCATGTAAGACCAACAAGATGAAGTTCACACAGAGCTGAATAGATTTTTTTTAAATGCCCTTTGGGGTTTACTTTCTTCCCCTAGATTTACCGAGAAATGGACAGCATGGCCACAGATTACCCCGACCTTGTGAGCAGGGTGAAGATCGGATATTCCTTTGAGAACCGACCGCTGTATGTCTTGAAGGTGAGGCCCCGTGTATTCCTAAGGGTTCAGCCTTCAGGTTCTGGGGTCCCAGATCCAGGCTTCCAACCTCTGAAGGACATAGCTGGTCAGGACCTCCCTACTTTTGCCTAATGCAGGGAGGGCTAGAGTGATCACAGCCCATACTAAAATTTGACTGAAAGGCAGGATCTGTGGGGAAGGTGAGTATTCCAGAAAGTTCTCTGATTGGCCTTAGTCTTTCCCTTCATGCCCACCTTCTCTAAAAAGCAAGACAACCTAGCATCGTTCTACAAACTCTAATTTGCCTTTAGGGCTGCGTGTTGGAAAAGCCCAGGAGTGCTGGTGGCACTGTGGGCTAGGCACTGCGCTGCTAACCACAAAGTTGGCAGTTCAAACCCACCAGCCACTCTTTGGGAGAACTATGAGACTGCGTGCCTCTGTATAAATTTACAGCCTCGGAAACCCTATGGAGCAGTTCTATCCTGTCCTTGTGGACTTGTTGTGAGTCAGAATTGACTCCATGGTGTTGAGTTTTTAGGAAAAGCAGAGGCTCTGCGTGCTGCAAATATGAACTCACTTGGTTAATAACTAAAAGTTTACCCAGAAGAGCCTCAGGAGAAAGTTCTGGTGATCTACTTCTAAAAGCACACAGTCGTTGAAAACCCTATAGGGCACAACTCTACAATGAAACACACAGGGTCGCCATGAGTTGAAGTTGACTTGATGCAACTCATTTAGTTAGACTTATTGGACAATCAACCTGTTGTAGTTAGGTACCATTGGATCGGTTCCAACTCATAGCGACCCTGTCTAGGGTTTCTGAGGCTTCAAATCTTCACAGGAGCAGAAAGTCTCATCTTTGTCTCATGGAGCAGCTGGGGGGCTCGAAGTCTGGTGCCTATTGTACAGAGCCACCTAGGATCCTCATTTTAGAGCTGAATTCATTTTAAGTCTAGCTTGTGGATCCTTGGCTGCACAAAGCTTAATTTCCAGATGCTTCTAAAGATTCAGCCTACCTTGGTGACTGAGACAGACTACAATGATTGTTACATAAATTACAGCCAAACCTGTGAGAGCCGGAACTTGATGGGCCTGCCTTGGTTTTCCAGGTCTGGAAAGTTTCTCATCATTTTCAGGGTTCCGGCTTACCATGTTCCTGTGGCTCATTGTAGAGGAAAATATTTTAGTTTTCTTTCTCTGACCAATTTCTGCTGTATACAGCCTTCACAGGTTTCATTGTATATAAATAATGCAGGTGAATGAATGATAAGGGATTTGGAGATATGAACCATGGAACCACTGAGGATACAAGGATTTGCCAAACCCTAAGCATCCTATAACCCTGAAGAACCCAGACTTACAACAATGGGCAAATTACCAATGGGAGGGTACCTGCCACTGAGCTGGATGTTCCAAATAATTACGCTTAGACTGTTTGTCAAGCTACTGGAGACCCTGGCTTCATTAGCTTCAAGCTCTGACCATGGCAAAGGCAGGGAACAGAGTTCATTAACACCATTGACGAAGAGCTATAGTCAACCCCCTGATCCCAATTTGAAGGGCAAATTCATTTACTCCATCCACTAGGACAGCCTGGTTCGTTCACTCTGTAGCTCTTTCTATTGGGGTACTATTGAAGGTCTTTCAAAAGACATAATATTATAGCTAATTGTAGTGCCATTACGATCCATAATAGCATTTGTTTTCCTTCCACATGGACTTCCAATGGGAGATGCTCAAGCTGCCTAGAGCCATGACTTGGCCCTGCCAGCCAAACAGTTGAGCTCCCTAGTCACGAGCAGCCTAATACATAGATGGTGCCTTTTGGAACATTTGGTCTCTGAATTATCTTAAATGGATTAAATGAATAGAAGCAAGATGGGGAGAGGGAGGTGAATGGCAATTTAGCCTGGAGGTCACTTCTGTCCTCTTTCCTCCCCTCAGTTTAGCACCGGAGCAGGAGAGCGGCGGCCGGCCATCTGGCTGAACGCGGGCATTCATTCCCGCGAGTGGATCTCCCAGGCCACAGGCATCTGGACGGCAAGGAAGGTCATGTCGCCTGGGACTAGCCAGGAGTTCTGGCAGGCTTGGGGTCCCCTCGCAGCATTCCTAGTGGCTGGGCACTGGGGACAAGGTGGAGAGGTGCTTGGTCCAGACACAGGAGACCGTTTCAGCTCAGAGAAACACAAAGTCAAAACCCAGTGGCCAGTTCCAATGAGACAAAGTGGTCAGTGGGCCACAGAGCTGGACCTGGAATGCTCAGCAGAGAATGGAAGTAGAGGTTTTGCAGCAGCGAATTCAACCCAACTTGGTCTTCTTGCCAACTCTCCAAGCCCAATAGACCCTTGGGAACCTCCTGCTATATCCACCCCCCAGTGGAAAGCCAGTTTTAAGTCAGCTCTAGGAGAGTAGGGTACATCTCCCCCACCCTTCGATGGGGAATTAAATTCCTCAAGGTCCCTGGGTGTGCAAATACTGTATGTTGGACTATTATATTAACCCTGGGAGAAAGATGAGACTGTCACCTCTTGTGCAGATTCACAAAGTGAATCTCGGAAACCCAAAGAGACAGTTCTACCCTGTCTTACAGGGCCTCTGGAGTCCTGGTGTGGAGCTATAGGGTAATCACTTGACTTCTAACTGCAAGGTCAGTGGTTCAAACCTACCAGTTGTTCCTTGGAAACCCTATACAGAGTTGCAGTGAATTGGAACCCACTCAACCACACTTAGCAACAACAATATGTTTCTTGTCGTAAAGTGGCTATGAGTTGAAATCGACTCAATGGCAGTAGGCTTGGTTTTGGTTACTAACCAGAAGGTTGGTGGTTAGAACTCACTAGAAAATCTTATGTATCAGTTCAACTCTTGTAACACATGGAGTTGTCATGAGTTGGAATCAACTCAACAGAGATGGGTTTATGGTGATGGCTGGCACCGTCACTCCCCCCCCACCCCAAGAAGTATTGGCTGAGGTAGATGTCACTCAAACAGCCCTGTCCCATGCAGAGAGTGATGCCTTGGAGCGCTTTGCTGAGGGCTGTAAGGCTGTAAGGGGGCTTCAGCAAAGCGTCTATTCTCAGAGTTTAACTGACAAACATTCTATCTGTGCTTAGATTGTATCTGACCACAAGAAGGACCCCGCCATCACTTCCATCCTGGAGAAAATGGACATTTTCTTGTTACCTGTGGCCAATCCCGATGGTTATGTGTACACTCAAACCAAAGTGAGTTACATTCAATGGCCCAGGCGTGCAAAGATGGCTCTAGCTGAGCTCCTTGCTTGGCCCCTAACAACTGTACGACCTCAGAAAGGATTTCCATATATGAGCATGTCATGAGCTTCTTGGGATTCCAGCTGAGGATCACCAGGGAAGGAATCTTTTTCTTCTTTGAGAGTGGAGTCTCGTGAACCCCCTATCACCGATCCTGAACATTGATTTCCCCACTCTTTTTGCCACCTGTTTCCTGCCCACTCATTTTTCCCCTGAAGTATTTCAAAGTAAATCCCAAACATCCCTACCTGAGGATCATTTAAAAAAATATGTAAATAAAAAGGCACCACAGTACTTGTAGTTTTGAAAACAAACAACCCAGCAAGTTCTCTAAGATCATTTAACAGTAATAGACAGTATTTAAAGACATTAACAAGTGTCTTCAAAATGTCTTCTAAGAGACAGTTTGCTCCAGTCAGGATCCAAGCGAGGTCTGTATGCTGCATTTGGTGGTTGTATTTCTGGAAGTCTGTTTTATTCTACCCAAAGGCACGCCTACCCTTGCCACATTTGGGATTTGGCCGCTGGCTGCTTTGTGCTATTTCGTCTGCCCCCTGTATGTCCGATAACAGGAGGTCAGATCTAGAGGCTAGATTCATTTCAGGTTCTGGTTTTTTTTTGGTGAGAAGGAAGTCGGGGCTCTGCACTTCTGACTGTCAGCCTCATAGTACAAGTGCACAATGTCTGTTTGTCTAAAACCAAGCCTTGGTTAGTTGGTTCAGGTAGTGGGTTCCTGGAACTATGGATTCTCATCAGTAAGTTTTGGGAGCTCTTCTCTTAGCATCAGAGAGGGTTACCTCTCCTTTCTTGGGGGGAGGAGGCAATAAGAGGACAGTAGAGTCCAATGACCCTCAAGGCCTCCAGAGCCCCGGGGCCTAGCCTGGCCTGCCCAAGCACTCTTCCCATCCTGGTCCCTCTCCAGCACCCTGGCCTGTCTCTGAATGTTTTTGTGGGTTTTTCAGAACCGATTCTGGAGGAAGACACGGTCCCAAAATCTTGGAAGCCGCTGCATTGGTACAGATCCAAACAGAAATTGGAATGCTAGTTTCGCAGGTAGGTGTGGGGACTGTTTTCACACACTGCTGCTGCTAAAGCAACCTGGTCCAATAGGACCCCAAGCTCCAGTCTGACTCCATTGCTGAGTCATTGAGAGATTTGGGGAGAACCCTTTACGCATATACTCTCTGTCTCTGATTTGGCTTTTTGATCTTTTTTCTAATTTTGGGATTGATTCAATAATTTTTGCTCTCCTTAGAGAATGGTGGGCCAGAATTTTTTAACTTTGGGATTACAACCTAGATTAATCATTTGTGGACTTCCTGGGTGGAGCAAATGGTTAATGCACTTGGCTGTTAGCCAAAAGTTTGGAGCTTTGAGTCCACTCAGAGGCACCTTGGAAGAAAGACCTGGCAAGCTGCTTCTGAAAGACAGTTATTGAAACCTCTCTGGAAGGGTCCACCTGAGTTGGAGTGAACTTGATGGCACCTGTTTTTATTATTTTGTCTGATAGCATAGTGGTTACGAATCGGGCTGTGAACCGCAAGGTCAGCATTTCGAAACTACCAGTTGTTCCGCGGGAGAAAGATGAGGCTTTCTGTTCCCGTAAAGATTTACAGCCTCGGAAACCCTGTATAGGGTCACTATGAGTCTGAACTGACTCCACGGCACATAACAACAACAACAACAACCTTTTATAATCCAATTTAGTCATAGATATGGGAGGGCTGTGACTCTGTAGGATAAACACTGGACTGCAAACCACAAGGTTGGTGGTTCAAGTCCACCAGTCCACCAGCCTCTCCATGGGAGAAAGATGAGGCTTTTGGCTCCTACAATGATTTACAGCCTCGGGTACCCTCTACAGGGTCGCTGTGAGTCGGAATGGACTCTGTGGCACTTAATAACAACAACAGCATCAAATTCCAGGGACTTCTTTATTCCTGGCCATGCCACCTTTTCCAGAGTGAGTTGCTGGGTGGGTGGAGGGCGTCTGAAGGGAAGCAGTTTCTACTGTTCGGGTGTTTGGTTGTACCATGAAAAGTAAATGTCTATAGCTTATCTTCCTGTGTGTGGATATGGACATGGGCAGCCAGAGGTCATGGAGAGAGGAGATGAGTTAGGAGATCTGAGTTCTGAGATCCAGCTATCTAAAGACAAAGTGACAAGGACGTTCTCATAGATGATCGTAATTTTTCTTACGTGAGTGAAATGTGTTATAGTCCTATCTCAGAGCTAGCACGGACTTGGTTCTAGACCACCACAATAACGTGAATTCTGCAATGAAACTCTGGTAGCGTAGTGGTTACGAATCGGGCTGTGAACCGCAAGGTCAGCAATTCGAAACTACCAGCTGTTCTGCGGGAGAAAGATGAGGCTTTCTGCTCCCGTAAAGATTTACAGCCTTGGAAGCCCTGTACAGGGTTGCTATGAGTCGGAACTGACTCCACGGCACATATCAACAACAACATCATGAAGTATGCAGTTGCATCATGAAAAGGTTTAAAATATAGTGAGAATGATTCAAATGTGATACAGAAACACACACTCAACACAAAGAATGGTGCCGAAAGACTCACTTGCTTACAGATCTTTAATTTGTAAAAACCGTGATTCTCTGTGAGGCGTAATAAAGCTCAATCAAACGAGGTATGCCTGTATCTGGAATGAGAAGATGCAATCACAAACTGATATGGTTGAATAGAACTGTACTCCAAACTCACCTTTCTAGTCCAAATCTTCATAGCTCCCTCCACTATTCCAGTGGCCCGGATGTTTTGTTTTTGTTTTTAGCATACTTTTTTTAACTTGCCTATAAATACCCAGAAAAAGCTTTGAGAGAAAAAAAATAAAAAAGCTGACATAAATGTGGACACCAAGGAAATTTGTCAGTCCAGATAAACTGGGGTGGTTTCCCCTCCCCCTTCCCCATACCTTGGGGAGCAGTATTGTGAAGTAATACAGAAGGTAATACTTCTAAATACCTGTCAAATGATCAAGAGATTTCAGCCACAACAATAGATTATTTCTGGCAGCACTTGGCTATTAGGATTTGAACCAAGAGAATGAATTGACACCAGTATAAATGGAGTCATTTTCATTATTAATTGGTATTCTTCTTAACTATCAAGAATACTTATTAATTGCAACTCATTGTCAAGGATGATATTAATTATTCATAGCAGCAGCTGCTGGTGCAATACAAGGTCAGTTCTTTCCATCTAAAGGAGTTCTAGTGTTTTCCGGCTCAGCTGGAGTGTACCAGCACCCAACCTCTCTCTTCTGTGCTCTGCTTCCTGGTCACACACCACTGGCTAGACACTCAGGAGAATCTGGCAGTGGCCTGGCCATGGCTGCTACCTTCAGACTCCTCCCCTTGCTTGTGTGTCCTGGGTAGCTCTTTCCTTGGCCTATGGATTAAATGTTTCTTCTTGGGCTGTCATCTGCAGGAGAGGGAGCTAGCGACAACCCATGCTCTGAAGTGTACCATGGACCCCATGCAAATTCAGAAGTGGAAGTGAAATCAGTGGTAGATTTCATTCAAAAACATGGGGATTTCAAATGCTTCATTGACCTGCACAGCTACTCACAGTTGCTGATGTACCCGTATGGATATACGGTCAACATGGTCCCGGATGCTGAGGAGCTGGTGAGTGACTGCCATCTGCCCAGCCCTGCCTGGACTTCCTTACCCCTAGGTGTTGCCAAAGTGGTTGTTCCATATCTTTATAGAGAAAGTCAGGAGTCCAGACTTGGTTCATTAAGAGTCCAGTCTTCTTTCCTCCAGTGGTGCAAATAGTTACGTTAACTAAAGGTTGGATGTTTGAGTCCACATAAAGTTATCTTGGAAGGAAGGACTAGGGATCTATTTCTGGAAAATCATCATTGAAAACCCTATGGAGTACAGTTCTACTCTGACACAATCGGGATTGCCAAGAGTCAGAATTGATCCAATGTCAACTGGTATTTGGTTCTTCCCTCCCTGCCCTTTGGGGAGTCCCATCAGGCTTACTGGACAGGAAGAAGGTGATGTTCCTCATTTCTGTGTCTGCTGAACTCTCTATTAAAGCCACACCTGCCTTTGGCTTTTCCTTCTCATTTGTCTTTCCGACTGCAACATACCAAGTCCCCTGTTCTGGTCATGTGGTGGGCTGAGGGACATGGTCCTCCTTCCTGGAGGCATGTGGAGAGGCACTTGGGGTGAAGGAGCATAACTCTAGCGGCTGCCCCTGTGCCACCCAGGGCTCACGTGGACCTTGGCTCCCATTGGCCCTTCTAGGCAGGTGTCTGTGCTGGGCACATCCACACGGGCAGCCCTACCTGTACTCTGGAACACCCACCTCTCAGATGGTTTTCTCTTGAACACACTTGGCCTTCCCTCGTGTTCATGGACAGGACATTCCCCTCCCTCAGAACAGCTGGGAATGATGGTGCCTTTACTATAGTCCTAGTAGGTAGGATAGGAATATAGTAAAGGCACCATCTTGGAAAGCTTGACGGTGACTCTTCCAATCTGGCTATACAGTACTCATGATTGTAGAGGTGTACCCAGTGTCTTGTACCTCTCTTCCCTCCACCACTTTCCTCAAACTGGAAGTGAAGAATTAGGAGTATGGTGGGAGAAGGAGTTGGGGGAACCAGTCCATGTTCCTCAGTTTATAGCCAGGCCTGGGCTCTGGTTGGATGGGAAAGAAGAGATCAGAAAGGAAAACCAGGGGAGGTATGGAAAATGTTCCAAACCACCACAGCGCAGCACAGTGAAGGAACATCGGGCTGGTGGGACTCCTTCTTTCTCACACCACCGCTTCTCTCTCCCAGGACACAGTGGCAAGGCATGCGGCCAAAGCTCTGGCTTCTCTGTCGGGCACAAAGTACCAAGTGGGTCCCACCTGCACTACTGTCTGTAAGTACTTGCTGTCCTTGTCAGTTACTTAGAAAACATGTGAGTGGGAACTTGAAATGGAGTGGGAGAGAGCTGCCAACTGGATTCCTCTGTTGTGGTCTGGTTGTGTTAGTGATAGATGGAATTTACGTCAATCCTGTGTTATATAGTCAGGAGCCCTGTGGGTTAGATGCTGGCCTGCTAACTGAAATGTCAGCGGTTCAAACCTTCCTCTAGATGTTCTGCTAGAGGAAGATGAGGCTGTCTGCTTTGATAAAGATTTACAGTCTCAGAAACCTCATATAGGGTGGCTATGAGTCGAATGGACTCAGTGGTTATGGGTTTGAACCTCAAGGTCAGCGGTTCAAACTCACCAGCTGGTCCTTGGAAACTCCACATGGGGTCACTATGAGTTGGAACCAACTCAGTGGCACTTAACAACAACTATTCTCTTCATCTCATACCATGGGGATTTTTTTCTTTCAACGTGGCAGAGTTTGTGTTCTTTATCAGGTGTTGACGATCCTGACATAGTTTACCAGAACTTCTTCCAATCCATTTCATTTTCAAAGGAAACCCAGCTTTGGACTGGCAGACAGATGGGGGTGTAGGGGAGACATTCTCACTTTTTTTCAGAAATTAACAAGTGCAGGTCCACCCTGCTTCAGCAAACTTGCTGACATTTATTTCCTCTTCAGCTCTGAGCCGACTTGCCCACCCTCTCTCTGTCCCTTCATTCACTTCCTGTTCTCTGCAGGACTCCATCAACACCCAGTCCTTCTCTGTAGTAACCTCCGCACTCCAGTCTGTTTCCAAAGCCACAAGGCTGCAGGAAACCATAGCATGATGTTGGTGTTTGTGTTGCTAATTGCAGCAACAATCCATTAATTATTCATTGCTTATTATTATTGTTGTTGTTAAATGGAGCTCTCCAGAGAACACATCAGGGGAGCTTCTCCAGCCTCTGCTTAGTCAGAACTGCACCAGGGTATTGTTGTTAAGTGCCGTCGAGTCGGTTCCGACCCATAGTGACCCTGAACAGGGTTTCCAAGGCTGTAAATCTTTACGGGAGCAGAAAGCCTCATCTTCCTCCCGTGGAGCAGCTGGTAGTTTCGAACTGCTGACCTTGTGGTCCACAGCCCAATTCATAATCGGTACGCTACCAGAGCTCCTTAAAGAATGGTAAGAGAGAGGTGTAAACCCCGTCCCAGCTTTTGGGTCAGACATGAATTGAAATAATGGCCTTGTCCTCCCACATCAAACACATTCTTCTCCCCAGCATGTCCTTGTTGTTGTTAAGTGTTGTTGCATCTGTTCCAGCTTATAGTGACCCTGTATAGGGTTTACTGAGGAGCTGCTGGTGGGTTTGAACTGCTGCCTTGCAGTTCGCAGTCCAGCGCTGATCTTATAGTGCCACACCTGGAGTCTTCCCATGTTGTTGTTGTTAAGTGCCGACCCATAGTGACCCTGTACAGGGTTTCCGAGGCTGTAAATCTTTACGGGAGCAGAAAGCCTCATCTTTCTCCAGCGGAGCAGCTGGTAATTTCGAACTGTTGACCTTGCGGTTCGCAGCCCGATTTGTCCTCCCATAGGCTCTGCCAAAATTCAGAAAGACTCCACCGATTCCCCCAACAGAAGAGGAAGAACACCCTCCTGAGTGTTGTCCAGGAGACTAACATCCGCTACCTCTTTCAAAAACCCATTGTCTATATTCCTTATAGATTCTGTCTGCCCTCCTTGCTTCTCAAAAAGACTAATGTTTATACAACAATACTGTCTCTAGCTCTGCCTGTGCTACAAGACTACTTGATTTCTTCTCTTCAAGTGCTGGACCTTTCCTGAAATTAACCTTCTGTTTTAGACAAAAAGAAATGTAACATGGATTCCTCACCTTCCTGCCTTCTTAACCAGAGCAGCTAGAAGAGTTGGACCCCTTTCTTCATAGGCTATATATATATCATGTCTTCGGACATTATAGCCCGAAGGCCTGCTGTGTGCCATGTGGGACTGTTCTGTCACTATGCTACATAGCTACAGCCTTTTTGGCTTCTTGAGTTCTGTGGCTCCTTCCTCCTGTTAGGCTCGAACTGCTTTCAGGCCCCTTTCTGGTATGGCACTGTGTGTTAATGCGCCAGACTGCAAAGCCTTTTGAACTGCAAGGTTGGTGGTTCAAGCTCACCAGCTGCTCCTTGGAAACCCTATACAGGGTCGCTGTGGGTCAGAATTGACTCGATGGCACTTCACAACAACAACAACAACCTCTCTTTAGCAACCCTCCTCCTCACTGATTCTGACCTACAAAGGGGTTGGAAAACAAATTCTTAGGACTGGACTTGTGGATAAATCATGACAGATTAAGAATATTCATGGCAGCATTGTTTACAGTAACAAAGTGTTGCTAAGCATCAGTATTTGTTGTTGTTATGTGCCATAGAGTCGGTTCCAACTCATAGCGACCTTTCATAAGGTTTCTGAGGAGCGGCTGCTGGGTTTGAACTGCAGTCCTGCAGTGCCACACCAGGAGTTCCAGCATCAGTAGAGTACTGGATCAATGGATCTGGCTCATTCATATAGTAGAACCTTCTTTGCTATTAGGGAATCGTCTTTAATTGTTCATTGAAAAATGTAGCTTTCAGAATCGTATTTCTCATATGTTCCCACTAGGCTTTAAACAAAGAGTAGGCAGGGGTCCAACTGCAGTGAAGCTCATGAATTCAATCACGTTGACTCATGAGCAAAGGGCTTTCCCCCCCACTAACATGACTCTTAGGTGTGTTCTGGAATGCTTGAATTTATCGCATAAAGAGCCTGGCCTGATGTGGCGCTGTGGGTTAATGCGCTGGACTTCAAGGTCGGTTTGAACTGCAAGGTTGGCAGTTCAAACTCACCAGCTGCTCCTTGGAAACCCTATACAGGGTCGCTATGAGTTGGAACAGACTTGACGACACTTAACAATGCCAACAACGGTCTGACTGAAGTCCCGATAACGCAACGATTAAGATAGCTGTTAACTGAAAGGTTGGTGATTTGAACTCACCCAGAATCTTTTTGGGAGAAAGATCTGGTGATTGAATTCCGTAAAGATGACAACCAAGAAAATCCTACAGGGCAGTTCTATTGTGTCACGTGGGGTCACCATGAGTCAGAATGGACTCAACAATAACAGAGTTTGACTGGGAAGAAGCAGACCAACAGGCATCTTGAAGTCCCAAGGGCTGTGCTTCATTTCCTCCGTGTATCACTTCTCTATTGCTATGTGAAAACAAGACAAAATTTAGCTGTTCAACATTCCTCACATTGTTTCTGAGGGTCAAATTCAGGAGCAGCTTAGCCCACGTCTAGTCAGGGCAGCAGTTATCCGAAGGTTTGGGGTGGGAGGCTCCATTTCCAAGGTGGTTCCCCCAGGTGCCTGGTGCTCAGTGCTGGCTTGCGGCAGGTGGTCTCAGTTCTTTATCACATACACTCTTCCTAGGTCTGCTTGAGTGCCCTTACAACAGGGCAGCTGGATTCCCCCAGAGTGACTGGAAACTGCCATCTCTTTTATAACCATGTTCATTTTGGCAACAGTGACTTGTTAGTTACACAGGTCAGATCAGCCCTACTCAGTCTAGGAGAGAACTACACCACGGTATACTACCAGGAGACCAAGGTCACTGGGGCCTTCTTGGAATAGACTGACCTACTTAAAGACTGGTTTTCAGTGACTTGCAGAAGTCTCTGCAATGAGTTACTATCAAGGAGAGGATGAGGGTTTAAAACCTCTTGTTGGGAGACTGGTAAGAACCTCATGTTCTTTGAGACTATGGATCAGACATCAAACTTACAGGTTTGATGACTTGTAGCAAGAACTCCTGATCTCTAAGGAACCTCCAGTAGGCAGAACTTCTGGCCCCTTCCCTACCTAATCTTGAAGGGAACTGGTCTTAAAGGTGTTTTCTCTTCTAACTTACAGACCCAGCCAGCGGGAGCAGCATTGACTGGGCGTATGATAATGGCATCAAGTATGCCTTCACATTTGAGTTGAGAGATACTGGGCACTACGGCTTCCTGCTGCCAGCCAACCAGATCATTCCCACTGCGGAGGAGACCTGGCTGGGCCTGAAGACCATCATGGAGCATGTGCGGGACCACCTCTACTAGCCCAGGACTACCATTCACTCACTTCTAACTATACCCATAGACCGTGTACTAAAGGGGTTCACACCCTGAGTCAGTCTGTGTGACTCAGTGCCTTATAAAGAACACCGCAACTCCTCTGTAGAGTAGATCTGGGCATTCTGCACCTGTGAGGAATGCTTGGCCTCCCTCCTGTATTTTCTTCCTGCTGTTTGACTGAGCCTCTTGTGTGTGTCTCTTTCCACTCAGTCGCTTGAACAGGCCACACTTTGGGTCATTCCTTACTGGGTGGTACACCTCTACCTCATTTTTAGAACAAAGAATATCTGAGATGTTCTCTAGCTTTCTCTGTACCTACCAGACCTGTGACCTTGGTCAGATGGGGGCCCAAGGAAAGTGCCCAGGGATACGATGCTGGCCTTTTAGATCAAAATTTCAGAGATGATGCTGAGTGTATTTGAATTTATGAATATCTCCCTCCTTGAACACATTTTTCTTTAAGCAGCAAATTCTTTAAAGCCGTCAGTATAGGCCTTCTTTTTCTTGGAAGGGAAGGGTATCCGAATACAAAGTAGAGTGCCCCCTTCCATTACAGGGCCAATAATTCCCAGATACTGTAGTCCTGGTGTGGCACTGTAGGATAAGCACGGGACTGCGAGTTTCAAGGTTGGCAGTTCAAACCCACTAGCCATTCCCCAGAAACTCCACATGGGTCATTATGGGTCAAAAGCAACGTATGGCACTTGACAACCACAAATGGTTCTTATCAGAAGCCCTGGGGATGCAGTTAAATGTACTCAACTACTAAGCAAAGGATCAGTAATTTAAACTCACTTGCCACTCGACGGGAGAAACAAGTGACAGTCACCTTCCGTAGAGATGGCAGCCTGGGAAACCCTATGGGGCAGCTCTACTCCATCCTACTGGGTCTCTAAGTTAGAACAAACTCAACAGTGGTGGGTTAGTTATAGCTCTTATTGAAGGAGACTTGGTGGTGCAGTGGGTTAGACACAGGGCTGCTAACCCCAAGGTCAGTGGTTCAAACCTACCAGTTGTTCTACAAGAGAAAGATGAGGCTGTCTGACACCCTAAATATGTAGAGTCTTGATAATCCTAAGAAGCAGTCCTGTAGGGTTGCTAGGAGTTAGAATTGACTCTGTGGCAGTGGGTTTGGGGTTTGGGGTTTGGGGGTTTGGTATCAGTCTTATCACTTCAGTATTCAGTATAAGTGGGACTCCAGAAGGGGATCTAAGTTCTGGTCAGCAGGACACCCTGGGTGAAGTGATGATCTAAATCTCTAAATCTCAGGATTGCTAAATGGCCTGAATGAGCCCATTTCCACTTTGCTGGGAACCCTTGGGCCCTAAATCACTCTTCTACTGTGAAAGTTTAGGTCTAACCCCATTCCTCCTGTTGTTCTGGTATTCCTTGCACTTCCTCTTCTGGTTTGTGTGCGTTTGCTTTTTTTTTTTTTTTTCAAACTCAACCACAAGCACCTAAACGAAGCAGGAATTCCCCAGCAGAATCCTCTTGTTCCATCATTTTCCCTCTGTACGCATTGTTGGCCTTTTGGGTGGTTTTGTTTTTGTTTTCTTCACCTGTCTGCAGATCCTATCCTTCTGCCTAGGATTTGTGTAGCATCTGGCGTGTTCTCTGAAGCCAATAAATAATATTCAATATGAATGTCCTCATCGTCTCCCATCCTTCACCTGCACCTGAACAGAACCCAGCCACACTTTTGAATCTGCAGCTCTTTGTCATGTCAGAAGTTCATGCTAATCCCTGTCCCTCAGGCATGGCAGGTGGAGAGGCCTTCTCCATGGGGCTGGGGGCAGAAAGAGACCCTCTGGGGCAGTTACCCTGGCGATTTCACTCCTTGAGTGTCTCAGCTCATAAGCTTGATATTTTTAGTATTCCCATTGATTAGACTAGGGGATGCTGGCTCACGCCCATGGAGCTCAGACGGGCAGATGATAAAATCAGAATACGAATTTATTAATTTACACCGTGGCATGTAACTGTTGAGCGAATTGGAGTCTCACGTTGGCCTGAATAGTACATTCTCTCCCTGTAGGCAAGATACATGGGAAGCCAAATTATAATCAGAAGGTTGCTTAGCGAGCGGGGTGGCAGAGCAAGGAAAGTTAATTACAGTCTCTGATTAGAATTTTTAATGGCACCCAGCTCTAATAGCTTGATATATCCAGTTCCACGACCAGAACACACCTGCTAGCAGCTGGCTGTCCCTTGTGCTGGCCAGACAGGGCTGCCCAGGACTGGACCTGGCCAGGCTGGCTTCTGGGACTCAGGTCAGCTCCATTTGTCATTCCCTTATAGTGAGCTTGCCTCTTAAATTCCTTAAGGACAAGATTTCTTAAAGAAGGCTTCAAAAAGCCATACAAAGAAAAGGCCGATACCTATGGCTGCAATAAAATGAAGAGCTCTTGTTAATTAAAAGACCCCATAAGGGATCCTAACCAGAAGAGCGGTGACAGCAGAGATGGTGGCGGAGGCGATGGCGTAGAGAGATTGACCAGCAGAGGACTATAGGCCCATGGACTGAAAAATGTGCCCTTTGGACATTTAAACAAAAATATATTTTCAGTGTGGTATGTGTGCATTAAAAAAAAAAAAAAAGGTAGTAGAGATAAATACTGTTAATTGATGGTACATGGAGGGGATTGCAATTATTGCATTGATGTGTTGAATGTAAAACTGATGATCTGCCCTTTAAACCTTCACTCAATTCACAGTAAAAGCTTTAAAAAAAAAAAAAAAAAAAAAGACTCCCATAAGGAAGGTGAGAAAATGTGTTGTACAGTTGAAGAAGATAGTCACAATATTTGCCATATACACAACTGACAAGGGCATATAAAGAATTACTACAAATCAACAAGAAAAACACACAACCCAATAGAAAGATGGGCAGAAGATGTGAGCGGGCTTTTCACCTCAGTAGAAACAGGCATATGTGAGGGACAGATGAGAGATGGTTAGTGGTCCAGGAAGCGTAAATAAGGGCTAAAATGAGATGCCCTTTGATTCTCCTCTGACTTACAAAAACAAAGCAGTTGAAGAGGATGTGGAGCAGTTTGACCAGAAAATAAAGCTTAGAAGTTGGGAAGAGTCAGGAAAGAAGGAGGAATGGAAACGGGAAACACGAGGAAAAAGTGGGAAGAGTTCTCTCACACTGTGGGGAAAACAATCAATGACATGAGACAAAGTGTGCATGAATGGGTGAATGGAAAACCAACTTGCTCTGTAAACTTACACCTGAATCATAGTGAAAAGGTAAACACACACACACACACACACACAAGAATGCTTCTAGCAGCTCTGTTCATAATAGCTGAAACCTAAAACAACTCAAAAGTCCATCCATGAGAGGAAAGGTGAATAAAATACAGTAGATTAAAAAATATATATATATGTATTGTTATTAAGTGCTGTTGAGTCAATTCCGACCCATAGCGACCCTGTATATGGTTTCCAAGGAGCAGCTGGTGAGCTTGAACTGCCGATCTTGCAGTTCAAACGGCTTTGCAATCTGACGCATTAACCCACAGTGCCACACCAGGACTATAGATATTATTTGTTAAGTGCCATCGAGTTGGTTCCAACCCATAGTGACCCTGTACAGGGTTTCCGAGGCTGTAAATCTTTACGGGAGCAGAACGCCTCGTCTTTCTCCCGCGGAGCTGCTGGTAGTTTCGAACTGCTGGCATTAAGGTTCGCAGCCCGATTCGTAACTACTACGCTACCAGAGCTCCTTATAGATATTATATATATATATATATATAACTTTTAAAAAGCAACAGTTGCCATCTAGTCAGTGCCAATTTGTGGAGACCCCATTTGCGTCAGTTCAGGACTGTCCGAGCTGGGGGTTTTCGTGGCTAATTTTTGGAAGTAGATCACCAGACCTTTGTTCTGAAGCACCTCTGAGTGGACTCGAACCTTCAAACTTTCAGTTAGCAGTGAGCACCTTAATCACTGCATCACCTAGAGACTCCACTAAAATATTATACAACAGTCAAAATAAAATTTAATATGAGATCCCTTCTATAAAGTTCTGGGCAACTAAAAAAAGTATATGTATATATATATATATTTGTGGTTAAGTGCCATGAAGTCAGTTCCAACACATAGTGACCCTATATAGGGTTTCTGGGGAGTGGCTGGTGAGATTGAACTATCAACCTTGTGGTTCAAACTGACCTTGCAGTCCAATGTTTATCCTATAGCACCACACCAGGACTCCCACATTCATATATATTGTTGTTGTTAAATGCTGCGAGTCACTTCCAATTTATAGTGACTCTGTATAGGGTTTCTGAGGGGCAGTTGGTGGGTATGAACTGTTGACCTTATGGTTTGCAGATCAGTGTTGATCCTACAGCATCACATCAGGAGTCCATATACATTAAGATCTGGAATGGACTTGAAACACAGATTTTTATCCACCAGGGACTTTATGCCCTATTATGGTGACTGGCTACAACCCATAAAACTACCCATCCTCCCATAAACTATTGACTTCTCTCAACCTTGGATGACAAAATGACCCTTGCTCCCAATAGGCTTAGACATATTTTCTGTTGGAATATTTAAATAATTTGACTGAACTTTGGTAAACCATGAAAGTTTTGGACTTAGAAGCCCTTCAAGGGCAGAGATAAGTGTGGATTTATTGTTGACCTCAGTCCTTAAACATCTAATGGAGCATCATAAAGATGACTTGAACAAATAACTTCAGTATCTATTCAATGTCGACTTCGCATCTGATCAAAGGGAGACGAGTGTCATTTTTGCATCGAGCTAACTGGCTCTCAGTAACTTGCCCATGACCTTGTTCTTTCCTGATGGATATGAGAAATAAGAGGTCAGGAAATGCAAGGACCTTGGGCTTCAATTGTGTATACATAGAGAGAGACTGCTGGTGGGGCACTGGACTGCAAAGTCGGTTTGAACTGCAAGATTGGTGGTTCAAACTCACCAGCTGCTCCTTGGAAACCCTATACAAG